ACCACAGCGACCGGAGGATCCACATCATCCAATACGGAAGAAGGGCTGGAGGGCCAGGGATCCTCAGGTATGTCGTTGACCAGTTGGCTGGAAACAGGTGGAACGGTGGCCGGTCGGCTGACTAGTCGGTTGTTGGCAGGAGGGCCGGTCGGCTGTATACAGGTGGGCCGGTGGCCGGTCAGCTGATGACGGGTCGGTTGTGGACAGGTGGGCCGGTGGCTGGTCCGCTGGTGATGGTCGATTGTTGACAGGTGGGCCGGTGGGCTATAGACAGGTAGGCCGCGGACAGGTCGGCTGTTAACAGGAGACCGCCGTCGGGATTGCTGAGCAGCGGTGAGCAGCGGCGACATCCACGCCAGCGTTCACTCACTCCTAGGCGTTAATAAACTGTTTCAGAGGAGTGATCATAGCGCTCTGCATCAGCAGTGCTGCGTCTGACTCCCTGCCAGATCCCAGATCAGCGCCGCGTCACACGTTCATGTGTTTTGAAGGTGTGGTTCCGGGGGAGGGGCTAAAAGGTGACGCTGGTTGTGTATGTTCAGAATATAGTTTTTCAGTTTTTCAAAGATCTCCTACAGCACCTTTAAAACAGCAAGTCCCTCTGCAGACAATTTTCACTTTTATCTCCCAAAATGTCCTTAAATCTGCAAACATTTTTACAACACCTTTTTATTTTTGCAATAAAGTGTTTGTTTTCAAGACTTCATCATGTGGTATTTCTAAGCTAAGCCTCTAGTTGATTCAATGTTTAGTTTAATGTCTGCAGATGGCAGGTGGTCTTCAGGTTTTGACCGTCTCACTGCTGTCCATCATCCTGCTGGGCGTCGACTTCGCTCTGGTCCACGTTCTGGACATCATCAGCAGACACACGTTTACGCAGTTCAACGTGACGAGTAAACGCACCGCCACTCAGCTCGGACCTTTAAACTCGTTAAAGTCCGAGAAGGTTAATACAGAAGGGACCTGGAAGCTTTCCATTCCTCACTGACACATGGCTCCGCCCCCCTTTCTGCAGGTAGTCACCACATGGACATCCAAGTGGGTGGAGACACCATGATGGCCCGCCTCCTGCGGACCGTGATCTCTGGGTTCAACAGTTCATCCGACCTGAACATCAATAGCGACAACCAAGGTGAGCCCCAGGTCTATGTGGGCGGCGCCATCAGAAGGAGGCCTCTAGAGGGCAGCATAACCGTTAAATTACCACTAGAGTCTAGGCTTTCTGTCTGTCAAAATATCACCTTTTGTAAGTGAAAGTCGGGTCTCCTGTCCTGAAGAACCCGACAGCTGCTCAGAGTTTAGAGTCTTTTCTGTTCAGTCCAACTTTCTGCTAAACCTACAGCTCCATATTTTCACAGTTTCTCATTTTATACGTTTTATTATTCAATTGCTGCTAGATAATAGTAAAAACCATGGGCCATGGTTAAATGATATTTAAATCTAGAATATGTTTTCTTCAGACAGACAGACAGACAGACAGATTTTTTTCTCTGTTTACACTTTTTAAAACATTTTCTAATTTCTACTTTGCTGAATCAGACTGAAGCTAAAAGGAAGTGGATCATCGTAAAGTGAATCAGATCTGAACTGGTTCTGGATTAAATAAATAACCCTGCAGGGTGTTGGACAGACTTTAAACCAACAGAGGGCGACATTTCCCTCCATCTGCAGACTAAAGAGAACAGAATCATGAACTTTCTCTCTCTCTCTGTCTCTCTCTGTCTCTCTCTCTGTCTCTCTCTCTGTCTCTCTCTCAGCATGCATGTCTCCCCCCTCCTCCCTCCCCACTGCAGTATATGTGAGCTGTGTGGGTTGTGTCCTGCTGGTGGCGCTGTTCAGCCTCGTTCAAGTCTACACCAACCGCCTCAGACGGGTCATTGCAGCCTTCTACCACCCTAAGGTACGCAGACAGACAGACAGACAGACAGACAGATGGATGTCCCTTTAAGCCAGAGGGCTTCATAGATGCAGCTGATCGGGAGACACATGAAGGCAGATTCTATGTTACAGCTTCAGCAGAGTGATGTTGATAATTACATAAAGAAGCTTTTTCACATTTTCTCGCCCTCCAAAAACAGGATATAGCAATAACTGAATTTTCTTTAAACAGTTGAAATGTTCCTTGTCTTTTACATCAAAAAATCAGGCCAAACTGGTTTGTTGTAACTTCCTGCACCGTTGGACCTGAGGTTCAGCTTGTTTTATGTGTGTTTGTTTGCAGCATGTGAGCTGCAGTAAATCTGATCTGAGAACAGATTAGAGTAAGAGCTTTATAACAGCAGAGCTGTTTAAGTGGACTTACGGCGCTGCTGGGGAGCTGCTGAGGAGCAGAGAGGTGATGAATGGAGGCAGTGATCGGGTCGGACAGCTCCTCTCCAGGTTCACGCCGTCAGACCTGCTGAGGAGCAACAGGAAGCTGATCAGATCAACAGCTTCCTGTTGGTTTCATCCTGCAGAGGAATAAAAGCTAGAACTTGAATAAGGTGAAGTTGGGGAGATGATGCCATCGGCGTTTTTCTCACCCTCAGATCCAGATCCTGTTGGACTTCAGGGAACTAGGATGGAGCAGGATGAGGATGGCAGCAGTCTTAGCAGAAACTCCCAGACTTTGCTCTCCCTTGAACAAATCCAGCAAAGAGACATATTCAGTTCTATTCAGTTTATTTCTAT